TAATTTCATATACTTATAAAGTGCTTATTGATGTTATTAATCAGTATAAACACTGTTACAATATCATTGCAAATGTGGAAATTTGTTTTTACCTTGTTGAAACATTGAATATTTTTTTTAAAAAAAGATTTATTATAAAATATTGATCTTCAACTTTGTTTTATTTTCTTGTAGATTCTGTAATAGGAAATAAAAGATTTATGCCATAATCTCTCACTCCAGGCAAAGGTATATTACATAAATATTTATATTTGAAATGTATTAAGTATTTGTACTCTATATTATTATAAATGGAATATCTGGCCAAAGATGAAATTAGTAAACTGAAAGAACTATTTCTGTAGAATAGTATGCACCATATATGATGGCTTAAAGGATTTTCTGAGGCCAGAATATCAGCTGAAGTAGATTGCATATTTATATCTGTGTTTATTGTCATTTTACTTATTTGCTAATAATTTGCATCCTAGAAACTTTAGTTGCATGGCTTTGGTAAACAAAAAACAAAAAACATGCTAAATGTGTTGCATAGTTTGTTTAGTACTACAATTGAAATATTATGTTTTAAGAACAGTTATTCTGTTGTTAAAAGTATTATTAGCAGTTATTAAATTCAATACACATAGTCCTCATTTAATGGTTTTAATTGGGACTAAAATGTCTACTACCCAGCAAAGTGGTCATTAGGCAAAACATCATATGGTGCTCCACTAAGAAACAGCAGTTCTAGTGATCCTGGTTATAGTTATTACATGAGAATTGTACCATCATTAGGCAATGACTTCATACCTGCCCTGCTGCAGCCATTGGATTGTGGGTTAAAGATGGGAAAGGTGGTAGTTTACTTCTTCAAATTGCCAGTCTCAACATATAATTCTACCTTTAAAAAAAGCTATACAGATTGTCCAGGAAAAAGAAATGGCCTTGTTCAGTGAACATTGCTAACAAGATTTTTGCTGGCTTGTTGAAAAGTGAGTTGTTGTCTCTGACTCAGAACAAATTGCTTAGCCCAGAATTTATAGGATAATTACAAGCAAACCTTTACTATTGACTGTATAATCTAAAAATGCATGCCATTAAAATTAAATTATTTATTTTTTAATAAGCTATATTTTGCAAAGAAGGAAATAATTAGTAGATATGTATGATATCACTCTTTTTTTTTTTAAAACAAGTTTTATTAAAAGTTTCAACAACAAACAAATCATTACATATTAAATCTTTCCCTGTCTTTCTACAATAATTTCCCCAATATTCTCATAAAACACAAACAAACACAAACAAACATAAAAAAATCTTTTAGTAAAGTACCTTGGCCCCAGTTACCTCTCTTTGCATGGGCTAAAATAATAGCACATATCACTCTTCACAATTCTATCTTATTTAATCCATCTTAGTTAAATCATTAAATTTGTATCTTTTGCCCATTCATTATCCCTCTATCTCTTCTTATAATAAAAAGAATTTCTCCTGAAATCACTAATTAGAGTATGATGCCTTTCTATCCTCCCCCTAAGTTAGTAAAATTAACATTCAACATAACAAATACCCAATTTGGTTCTGCTTGGTACATTCTATCCACCAAAAATGTTTAAATACATTGTATCCTCCTTTCCTTCGATATTTTATTACATTTCAAAAATCAATCATTATTAAAAACTTCAACATTTTAATTTCTTATTAAATCTTAAACCATTCTAATTTACTATTTCAAATATAAGTGTTACAATACCATCTTCTGTACCTTAGCAGAATCTTTCTTACAGAAATTTATATTTCATCCTTTGTCTCTAAAAAAAATCCCTCTTCTCCCATCCAATTTTAAAGCTTTGAGGCTTTTCTCCGCCTTTCCCCTTTCTTTCTTCCCCCACCAAATCTTCCTACCCCCCCCTTCTTCTTCTAACCTCTGCCTTGCTGGGATCCCTTCTCTGTTGTGTTCCCTTTTTCTCTTGTTTGTTATCATTATATTTATTTTGCATCATATTTTTCTCTTTCTCAAATGTTTTTTTAGGTCTTAAGTCCTTCATTTTCCTTGCTCTCTTCCTTCCTTCTTCCTTAGATAAGTTTTGGGATTCAATGAAGATGGCGTCTTCGTCTCTTCCTTGTTGTTCTTCTTCCGTTTCCATCTGTTCCATTGTCCGTTGGTAATTGACCAGCGCCATTTCTACAAATAGAAAAGCTTTTTCCATGCCATCTTTGCAGGCTGCTTTTGTTTGCTCATATTCATCCCTCAGGTCTTCAAAAAGGAAAGCCATTATAAATAAATCTTTTCTTTTCTTTATTCCTCTTCCTTCTTACACCAACCAAATATTCCGAGAGAAAGGCAAAACAATCCCAAAATCCACAATCCTCAATAAATCCAAGCAAGCCAAAATTCCCCCTTCCTCTTCCAGGGGTGGTATCAAACAAATAAAAAAAAAAAGAGTCCAAATCTATATTTTAAAGCCTTATTAAGATTATATTTCTGTCCTCAAGTCTTCAAGGCATCTCCTCCAACAAGATCCAAATTTATATATTTTCTTTATCCTCTCCCTTCCGGCTTAATTCCGTCGGGAGGGAGAGTAAACTTTCCCTTCAGCACCTCAAAATAGCCGCTTTTTTTTTTCTCTTGTGGAAAAAATCATCAAAAAACCATCTTTTCCAGGAATTAAATTAGATAAATCTCAAAGCCCTGGGTCAACCAAGAAGAACTTTCACTTTCAATAACTTTCTCTTCTTCCTCCTGCGCATACTTGCCCGGCTGTCAACTTCTTTGTGGCGGCCATTACGGACCGCCGCTGCACCGTCCTGGTAAAAGGGGGTTCTGCCGGCCAGGGAGGGGGTCTGCAACACCCCCAAACCCTTCCTCCGGATCCCCCTTACCTTCAGCTACCCCTGCAGGGCAGCCTTGCTCCGCACCCGTCCGGGTCGGAGCCCCAAAACGGCTAGCGCGGCAGGGATCGCGCAGCTTCGCGAATCCCTACCGCTCGCGAAGCCGCCAAACCGGAAACTCGATATCACTCTTAAATTAAAGAAATTTAATTTGTTTCAGAATTAATATACAGTATTAATTTATCCTGAATGTCAAAGCTTACTTAGAATGTTTCGTTTGTGCAAAATTCATTCATTGCTTGTGATGAAAACTGGCAGCTTGAATATTGTTCCTAAATGAAAGAATGTCACAGTAGAATGATCTAATATTTGTTTCTAGAATATCTAGAATGTGATAGCGAAGGTTAGTTCTCCAAGCTTGTGGGTTAGCTTCCAAATGTTTTGTTACAAGGTTAGGTAACATCTTCAGAGGAGTTTAGGGGATGTCATTGTTAGTGTTCTTCTGTTTATAAGGGCTTCAGGTGTGGGTATGTCAAGTGAGGGTCTTCTGATGGGTCAGCGGATTCTGGTTTTTAATTGACATGTTTGTCCCACATAAAATTGGTTGCAATGGTTACAGTTAATTTTGTAGATTACATTGTTTCTTTCATCCTTCTGTAACGATGTAATCAGAATCCAGAAACATCGGCTGACAATCAAATGCCACAATCCCAAATCCTTAATCTCTATCCACACTGACACCAAACAGCACCAGTTTAATTGGAGCAACACAAAAATCATCAGCTATATTACCACCTACCACTCTTGTGAGTTCATAGAAGCCTGGCACGCCACAAGCAATTCCATCAACAGACACACTGATCTACAACCAGCCTACAAACCCCTCAGAATGCAAATCAATCCCCAGCAACCAGAGACAGAACCAACCCTTGCACAACCCTCCCCAGCAGCAATTCACCTCCCAATGATCCTGACCTGATATCTCCTTATCACCAGACCCATCACAAGATTCACTAATGACTTACAGATAACCCATCTGTAACACATCGTTTGATAGACACACACCTTATAAACAGAAGAACACTGACACCCCCTAAATTCCTTTGAAGATGTTACCTAGCCTGGTAATAAAATATTTGGAAATCAACCCACAAGCTCAGAGAACGAACAAAGTTCACCTTTCTGTTATACCCAAGCTATAAATATTTGCTACTATTGCATTGTCTGAATGTCTAAATAAAACCTGTTCTTTTTTGTAGGGAGAGCATAACTGAAGATTTCATGTAACTGAACAAGCTTCAGCAAATAGATTAAGCCACAGATGCTTAGATTAAGACTAAGGAATCTGGACCCACAAAAAATCTAGACAGAAACAATAGATACAAAAACCTGAATGTGGTAATCCAAATTGCTGTAATCTCATATGTTTCATGTGAACTGCTAAAGGTCATCTCTGAATTTTACATATGTAGACAGATACATAATTTATTTTTTAAAATCCCATGATACTTAACAAGAATACAGGTAGTCCTTGAATATCAGTGGGTCATTTGATCATTCAAAGTTAAAACAGTCTGGGAAAGGGTGCTTTATGGCACATAAATAACTTCCAACTGTCATAAAATGTAAATCCATAAAGAATTTGTTCTCTGTGCTGAGAGGGGAAGGAAAATTTTTAAGGGGCTTCAAGATTTTAGTTCCTGCTGAAGAATTTCCTCTCCACTCCATCCATTCACCCAGAAGAAAAGTGGGAGTCAATGTAACTCCCACAACGAAAGTACAACATGGGCAAAACAGTGAAGATCCAATTTTATGCATGCTGCTGCATTCTGGATCACTTGTAACTTCTGAGTGGTCTTCAACCCTTTGTAAAGCGCAATGCAGTAATTCAGATGGACTAAAGTGACTAAAGCTGCTAACTGCTCATTAAGCAGAAGCTGAGAATCCAGAAGAATCCCCACATTGCGTGCTACTTTGATCTTGGAGAGGGTAACCCAGTCCAGAGTCGAAGATGACAAATAACCAGACTCTGAGGACCATAACCCCAGAGCCACTGGGTCTTGCCAGATTTGATCCAAAGTTGGTTCATCCCTATCCAGACCCTTGTAGTTTCCAGGCACTTAGATATACTGCAGTATTATCACTTGCCCAGCCAGGGATAGAGATGTCTAATTTGATATCATTAGAGTACTGATCATACCACACACTGTACTGTTACGACACACCCTGTAATGATCTCAAACAGCAATTTCATATATAAGGATCAAAGTCTTGAGGAACCCAACATTGCAGGACATAGGGTTAACTCTTTCCTTGCCCATCAATACCAACTAGAAGCAGTCACAGAAAGGAGAGCCATCATAAAATGGTGCCTCCCACTCACAACCTCTGTAGTCAGTTTAGAAAGATATTAAGATTGATGGTATCAAAAGCTGACAAAAGATCAAGGATAGCCAGCACAATTGCATCGCCATATCCCGAGTCCTCCAAAAGTGTTCAGGAAGCATGAACGATGCCGTTTTAGTATCATACCTGGTCTGAACCCAGACAGAAAAGGGCTGTCCCGTCTCCTAGGTCTTAACCAAACAGAGGGACTTGGGATTTGGAACTATGCCCTACATTTTTGGTTAAAGCCTCCTGAAAGATGGGACAACTCTTTTCAGTCTGGACCAGGAGAACCCTGTCTTATTTTCTTGGGATCATTTGTTTTCCTAATAATAGAGCTCAGATATAAGTCTGTCACTTCCAAGGATCTGCCCAGCCAGAATAAAACTTTGAGTGAATTCGGATTATTTGACAGTTACTGAAAATGTTCCTCACTGCAGCCCTGCAAAAGCTGCTCAACCATGTGGAGCCTGATTACCGAAAACAAAAAGAAAGCCACTGGATAGATATCTGCAGATGCACTAAGGGTAGAGAAGTAAGTACACTTTGCCACCCTTACGGCCACAAGTTTAGTCTTAACATAGGCTCTTTCTGTTGCTCAGTCAACTTCATTTTTTGTCTTCTTTCATCTGTGCTCTAGGCATCTCTGGTGTCACTTCATCTCTCGGAGTAGTTCAGTAAACGATGGCACTCTGCAAGATCCATGTGCACAGAGTCCACAAGGCAAAATTTGGTCCAACATCCCATTGCCTTTTTATTCCAAGGAATAATGAGAGCACCAACCAAACTGTGTGTCAGAGCTTCATGAAAAACCTCAAGTTTCCTCAGAAACCACAATAACTTCATCAGGTATGTAATAAACCTTATATATATATATCCTGTTCCATATAAATCCATGTGCCAGCTTCAATCCCAAGTGCTCTCAGACATGTAAGTGAATCCTCCAAAATGGCTGCTTTACCATGTTACTAGACAAATGGCAACTGTAAGACACAAGACAGCCCCCCACAGGTCTGCTGCCTTGCTCTTGTTCCTACTTCCATTACCACAAGCTGCCTGGCCATCTGAGCTCTTCACTGATTGAAAACTCCCAACAGCCAGGACCTTGTAGTGGCTGCATTGTCCTTGCCCTGTTTTGCCCAGCTTATCATTATATTCTCTGTAAAATAGCAGAGAATAGATGGAGAATATGGGCTAAGTGCTAGTCCGTTGCCACTCATTCTGCCATCCTGCTGTGTTCTCTGGAGTCGTTCTGTTTCACCCATCAGCTGGAGCAAAGGCAGCTGATCCATAGCACTTCTGAACTCTACTGCCTGCCACCCATTCAACAAGGAGCCTCTCTAATGGAGAAGCCACTGCCTGAAGCAGTCCCATTCTTTTGCCACTCAGAGAGAAATTGATAGAAATCTACATGGTTTTTTCCACCACTTGGTCTTCTGCCATTGTGCCAGCTCCTTTGACTGCTGCTGCTTTTCTGTTTTTCCTGCTGGCCAAGTAATTAGGACAAACAGTGCTGGCCGCCCACCAAATTGACCAGAGGCACTGATCATTTCCACACACATCTACATCCTCAGATTTCTCAGAAAAAACTTGCCTACCAAACATGCATCAATGTCAGTACCATAATGTGGGGATTCATGGATTTTGGTTTGTTTATACCCTGTCTTTATTATTTTTATAACTAAGGCAGCCAATACCCAATATTCTTTTTTTTTTCATAAAAAGTTTTTTATTTTATTTTGACAACAAACATTGACATATACAAACATAAAACATCAAATAAAACCATCTTTCCATTGTACAGTGTGTTGGTTGGTACATATCTTTTGTGCACAATATCAACAGTCTTTCCCTTCAAAATGCATTGTTAAAGTTCAAAATGCATGTTATATAAATCAACCAGACACATTATAACTTCTTATTAGACTTTGTTTGCAAGTTCATATCATCCTTTTCGAGCAAATCTCAACTTTACAAAACCTAATTCATAATATTCATTTCATTGTAATCAATTATAACTTATCATTACATTGTCTTATCATTATTATAATATTATAATGTTGTATTATATTTTATTTTCCTGTTTTCCTATGTAGCCATTGATAAAATAAATCCCAAATTTTATAGTATTCTTTATCTTCTTGCTCTCTAATTGCTAATGTCAATTTACTCATTTCTGCACATTCCATTATTTTCTTAATCACCTCCTATCGGAATTTTTTCACTTTTCCAATTTCTGGCAAATACAGTTCTAGCTGCTGTTAATACATTTATAATCAGATATATCAATTCTTTACTATATCCTTCAGATAAGATACCCAATAAAAATATCTTTGGTTTCAAGTCTATGTGCTGTTTTGTCATTTTTTCCAACCATGTATGAATTTTAGTCCAGTATCTCCTGACTTCTACACAAGTCCACCACATGTGATGGTATGATCCAGGTATCTGATGACCCTTCCAACATTTCACTGATTTGTTCTTAAACATCTTTGCTATTCTTGCCGGGGGGTAGATACCACCTGTAAAACATCTTATACAAATTCTCTTTATATGCTTCTGACATTGTTATTTTATAATTTTGAGACCATAATTTCTGCCATCTTTCTAAATCTATCCCATATCCAAAATTTTCCCCCATGCAATCATTGTTTCTTTAACTTGTTCTTCTAGTTTTAACTCCAAGTAAATATCCATATATTTTTTTGATCACCTTCTCATCAGTACCTGTCAAAATTCCATCTAATTCAGTAAGCTCATTGTAAAAACCTTCTACGATCTTTATCATATCTAAAATGTATTTGCATATAAGAATACCAATTCATCTCTATTCCTTGTTCCTCTAGTTCTAGATTTGAGTTCACCCTCTTCATTTAATATTTAACTATATCTTACTGTTTGTTCCATTCTATAAACAATTGGATATGCAAATGCCTCTATAGTTGACAACCACATTGCTATTTTCATGTAATGTTGTTTCCTCATTTTCTGCCATATTAATAATAAAGCATCACGAATATAATGTCTCCTAAAATACCCATGTGTTTTGCTTTCCCTATACCATAAAAAGGCGTGCCATCCCAATAATAAACCATGACCTTCTAATGTTAACAGTCTAGTATTTCTTAAAACAATCCATTCTTTCCCTCACATCAATGTTGTCACCTGATAGTATAATTCTCAATTGGGTAAACCAAAACCTCTTCTTGATCCAAAACCTCATCTTGTAACAATTTTAACTTAATTCTTGCCTTTTTGCCCTGCCATATATACTTCAATATTATTTTGTTTAAATCTTCAAAGTATTCTTTGTTTAATTGGGATTGTCTGAAACAAACATAAAATCCTTGGTAATTGTCATGATCTACTGTTTGAGTTTATAATAATTGTCTTCTTTGAGTGTTCCGCATCTTGCTGTAAATTGTATTCCTAAATATTTAATTTTATTTGGGATCTGGATATTCAATCTGTCCATCAATTCCTTATTTTGTTTTTCCACCATATTTTTAACTAAAATCTTAGTTTTATCTTTATTTAATTACAATCCTGCTACTTGTCCATATTCTTCAATCTTTTCTATTAGTTTAGGTGCTGTTTTTAATGGTTCCTCTAATATAAAAACCAGATCATCTGCGAATGCCTGTAACTTGTATTCCTCTTTTTTATTTTCATTCCTTTTATTTCGCTATCGTCTCTAATATTTCTATTTAATAGTTCAAGAGTCAAGACAAACAGTAAAGGCGACAGCGGACATCTTTGTTTGGTTCCTTTTCTAATATCTGTTAAATCTCCATTTATCATTACTTAGGCAGATTGCTTATGATATATTGCCTTTATAGCTTCAACAAATTTTCCACCAAATCCCATTTGTTCCATTTGTGATATCATAAACTGCCAATTTACATTATCAAAAGCTTTTTGTGCATCTAGAAATACCAAGGCCATTTGTTTCTCAGAGTGCAAATACACCCAATATTATTCTTCCTCCTATTTTCCTTACAAAAACCACTCTGTGAGGTAACTTGGGCTAAGAGTGAGTGACTAGTTGAACCCCCCCCCCCCTTGGCACTTTTAGAATGTTTTCCTTTTAGGAAAATTTGCATACTCCATAATTCTCCAAAATTTGCATACTCCAAAAAAAAAAAAAACAGCTAATGTAAAAGAAAAAAAACCTATTAAACAAATTGCAAATAACGGAGATCCTTACGGGAAAATGTCTGTCAATCCTTTGAGTAGGAAAGTCCCATTGGGACCACTGGACAGAAACAGTGGGATTTTATTAGGCATTTATCTGAATCTTCAAAGCCTGACTATTTTCTCTTCCATCCCTCTTATAACCTAGGGAATAAAGACAGAGACAGTTTTAGCTTCTTTCTCACATTTTCTTTGTTTCCTGGATTTAACAAAACTTTTTGTTTTTCTAATTCTAATTGCTAAATAATACTGTCTATTGTCCAACAATTATACCTATCGTTAATTTCTTTTATATTGTATAATAGATAATTGTTGTACATAAAATTTGTTTATATACAATATCTTCTTAGAAATGTCATATTACATAGAATTAAAGAACATACAATGAATATAAAAAGTTTACACGCTTGTTAAAATTTTTGAAATATAAAAAAAAATCAGACCAAGATCAATGACTTCTGAATTTTTTTCACCTTAAACATTGTCAACTGAACAATTCAATTGAAAAATAAACTAATCTTTTTTAGGGAGCAAAATAACAAAAAACATAATAACATGGTTGCATAAGTGTGCATACCCTTAAAGTAGTACTTTGCTAGAGCATCTTTTGATTTTATGACAGCAGTCTTTTTTTTTTTTTAAAGAAAATTTATATTCCCACCTACTTGCCTATGGAAACTCAAGGCAGCTTATACAAATATAAAAATATATAAAAAGAATAATAAAAGAAAATAATAAAATAAATAATAGCCACCTACCCACCCCCTCTTGGCAACAACACATATTCATACAAGCCATTTAGTGGGCTCCATCCCACTCTGGGTTCCCCAAGCCCACTAGCAGAACCATGTCTTCAACCTCTTCTGGAAGAGTGTTAGAATGGGGCCAACCTAATCTCCGGGGGAATGATGTTCCAGAAAGAGGGAGCCACCATGGAGAAGGCCCTTCTTCTGGACCTTCTGATGTATCGCCCTAGGGCCGTGATGGCAAACTTATGGCACACGTGCCACAGGTGGCACACCAAGCCATTTGAGCTGGCACGTGAACTGCAGGCAAACTTACCTCACTGCGCATGCACGTGCCTTATAGCTGATTTTCGGCTAGTTTGAGGCCTTTTTCGGCCACCCAGAGGCTTGAAAAAAACCTCTGGGTGGCCGAATAGGCCTGTTTTGTCACTTCCTGTAATACCGAAAATGTCAAAACGGGCTTATTCGGCCTGCAGAGGCTTTTTTCAAGCCTCTGGGAGGCCGAAAAAGGCCTCAAACCAGCCGAAAATCAGCTGTGAGGCGCAGTGCAGGTAAGGGGTGATGGTGGGGGGCAGGGAGGGATTGCGCACACATGGGCAGGAGGTGGGGGCACATTGCCTTCTGGGTGCTGGCATGTGAACATGCACAGGAGCTCAAAAAGGTTAGCCACCACTGCCCTAGGGGATTGAACCCGCAACATTTCTTGCCTTCCCACCCTAGTGGGTCGGGTATATATGACTGGCAAGAGATGTTTCCTCAGATAACCTGGTTCCAAGCCATGAAGGGCTTTAACGGAGACAACCAGCACCTTGAATTGCACCTGGAAGCAAATTGCCAACCAATGCAGGAGAGATAAAACATGTACATTGAGGTCTGCACAAAATCATGTGGGCTGCTGCATTTTGTACC